TCTGTCTTTATACTTATGTTGAAGTTGCTGATCTGTAATATTATATTAGAACTAGTGTCCCTCACTTAAATAAGGGCACATGTGTCTTTTCCATTATATTAATAATATAAAAACATGTCTGGCCGAATGGGAGAGTTACTTTTCCCTAATTCGAACCAGACATTTCTTCTCTCATTTTCTCCTTTCGCTTTCTCTTTTTTCCCTCTTTCTTCCTCTTTCTTCTTGACTGTTATCAGACTAACAGAACTCAAAGGCAGGCCGAATTATAACAAAGCCATCCAGGGGTATAACAGCCTTAGGGAAGGATAAATCCATACCCCCACATATTCCTTTCTGCATCGAGGAGACACCAGATGTGGCAGAATCTTCACCATTCATAATCACTACTTCAAGTTACACTCCAAGTGAGCACAAAAACCTTAAAAAAGGCAGTCGAACACCCAAAAAAAAACTCATTGCACCAGGGAACTAGAGACAACCACTCCCCTCCTTTTCTTTTAAAGCTCAGTTCTTCAAACAAAAATAGTTGCTGTTATAGAACTAACAGGTGATCACTGGCCTACAATAAATCAGGTATGGCTGCTGTCGCAGCATATACAGGTCCTCTCTTGACCTACAAATCAAGTATGGCTGCTGTCACAGCATATACAGGTCATCCCCTGACCTACAAATCCATCAGAAGGATGCTGTCGCAGCATATAAAGGTCATCACCGATCCCACAAAAAAGGAAAGGATGAGGTGCTGATCACCTCACTTCAACCAACTGAACCTATTACAGGTTTTGTCCTGGCACACGACCAGAAAAAAATAAAAAGGAGGAAGGGAGAGAGGGTACTTCAGTCCAATGCAGGAAAGAAATCTGGATCTTCAATAAACCACACTGTAGCTGGTGAAGGAAGAAGACAGAAAAGAGGTTTGCTCAATCTCTCCTTTCAGATCTGACAGTCCCACTTTGATACCATGCTGTCCAGAAGAGAAGAAGAAAGGAAGAGAGTAGAGGAGAGAAGAGAGAAAAGAGATTGAGTCCCAAAAGAGCTGCTGGTAGTGCCAGCTTTTTAATTTTTTATACTAGGGCGACACAACATAAAATAAAAGGTGGAAAATACCAAAGTACCCCTGCGGTACTAAACTTACAGAATAACAACCTTTTAACAGCAATCACTTCCCCCATTGTGGATGCTTTAGAATCAAATACCCAGTTCTTTCTTTCCAAATGAACCAGCATAAATCAAAAGGAAGCAAATTACAAACGATTTTCTGTCTTGCACTGAAATTGGACACCTTCCACAAAGAGATCAACCTTGGTAGGTCCTCTGGGATTATCCATTGATGCTTAGTTAAGTGTTTGACTGGTCCCTCCATGTTGCCAGATGAGCTGCACTGATTCTCAACATTTGGAACTTCATTGTTGTGAAAGGTTTGCATTCCCCCTTGGGAGATGGATAAATTTTACTGTGGAGGCTTTGGAATCGAATACCAAAAGCAAAGGAAGCAAGTTCCAAAGTATTTTACTGTGGATGCTTTAGAATCGAATATCCTGATTATCTGTTAATGCTCAGTTAAGTGTTCAATTGGTTCCTGACAAGCTGCACTGATTCTCAACATTTGGAACTTTGTCAATGTAAAAGGTTTGCATTCCCCTTGGTGAGACAGGGAAAATTTTGCTTTGTTTTGTGAATATTGCAAAGCATGGTTTCAAGGATTTTTGATGCATTTATTCAATTTTCTATCTGAAATTACTCTATTATATTTTACATTTATAAATTACTTCTGAGCTAGGATTTTCTTCTCAGGAAGTTCAAGCTACAAAGAAGATGAGGAATTGTTTCCTCCTAGGGCAGAAGAACGAGTACAGTCTCCAAGTGGGTTAGGACATGGAGGTGCAATGAAAAATGATAGACAGCCTGCAACAAGATATTTCATCATTAAAAGCTTGAACCATCATAATATCCAACTTTCAATTGAGAGAGGAATTTGGGCCACTCAAGTAATGAATGAACCAATTTTGGAAGAAGCTTTCCATGTAAGCAAACATTTAATCTAATGTTGTGTACTCCATTTTTGAATTTCAGTACTTCATAGAGAAGCTTATCCTTGCCTTGCAGAATTCTGGTAGAGTAATTCTAATTTTTAGTGTCAACATGAGTGGTTTCTTCCAAGGGTATGCCCAAATGATGTCTCCTGTTGGTTGGAGGCGAGACAATGTCTGGAGTGATGCGGGCGGTAGAAGTAATCTTTGGGGCCGCACTTTCAATGTTAAATGGTTGCGATTACATAACTTGCCTTTTCAAAAGACTCTCCATCTGAAGAATCCACTGAATGACTATAAGCCTGTCAAAATTAGCCGTGACTGCCAGGTGTTCCTTGAATTTAAGTGATTTTGCAGTAAAATGTCAAAAGAGTGTGAATTTGAAGATATAATTGTGGTTCACTTGCTGTTTCCAGGAGTTATCACAAGAAATTGGTCAAGCTCTTTGTGAGCTCATTGATGGAAGCATCAGTGTAGATGGGGAGTTGAAAAGGTATAGATGTTGTTTCCTTATTCAGCTATTAGTTTCCCCCAACGACTGACTTATAAGCCACCTACTTTTGGTTGGCCTTGGAATGTACAAATGCAGGAATAATCTCCCTAGGAATGAACTCATGAAAAGAACTTGTACTGAATCTTCAGTTCCATTACAAGATGAAGCATACTGTCATGCATATCCTCCATTGCATATGGCTTGGCCTAGGATGCCTGTGGCCAGTAATTTCAATTTGGCACATGGGAGATGTCCTGGGGGATTTCTTCCAGAAAATTCCCCTACCAATTTTGAGGCATTAAGAGGAAAACAGAAGAAGAATTCAAGAATTCATGGAAAACCTTCCAATATGTATGGGGGCAGGGATATTTTCCAATTAGATGGTGGGGGTCTATCTGCAGGAAGAGGCCTTCTCGCTGATTCATTATCTGAGGAAGATTTTCTTGATATGGTATTCAAATCCTGCTTCACCTTCCATAATTTTGTTTTAATTATACTTTTTTAATGCTTAACTTTGTGGTACTTGATCTATTTTCAAGCAAAATATGGTCATTTGTGTACATAACAGTGTTGCATGGACACAGACAGAGGTATCTGATTCATGTCTAGGAATCTGATACTGATTAAAATGAATTTCGACTTGGGGAGACAACCCTAAATTAGTATATTTACTATTAAATAGTCTCTCTCTGGTGTTTTTTAGCATCACATACCCCTAGAAAAGGGAATAAGCCTAAAATGTTTATTATTGTCACCTAAGAGCATTCTATGGGAAGGAGATTGTACACATGATTTAAAAATCAGATGTTCCTTTATGTTATATAGCAATGAGATTGTACACATGAATAAGCCTAAAATTGATATGTAATAGTGTTCTTCAATTCTCAATGGTCCTTGGATTATCTGAATTTAAGACATGTCTGAGATTAGACAATTTGCCCATTTAGGAGAATCATACTTAGAGAGCTCTTTTCCTTATCTCTTCCTGGTAATAATTATACTTTTTTAATTGCAACTGAAAAGAATGATTATTTTGCCTCAAGTCTTACTGAAATTTTGGCAAAAAAATGGAATATTTTATGATTATTTTGTTGCCTCTATCTATTCTCTTACATCCATTTTATGCGTTTGAAAGAAATTTTCTTGTTTTTCATTTTGAATATCTTTAAACATCTCAAGCCTCTATTGCTATAGTCATACTTTATTGGATGATCATGTTGAAGATTTCCCACGAAATAATTTCCTTTTCATGGTTGCTTCTCAATAAAATTCCTTTGTTGGACTGATCAGAAATCAGGTCGATCTGTTCTCATGTTGGGGTTATTTGGAGCAACTTAGAGTGGACATCTTTGTTTTACTTTCTTTAGAAAGCATCTTGACGATTGGTAATTTGAAGAGCAGGAATTTCCAGTTGACCAGTCAATGTTTTCTTACCCATTTATAAAAAAGAAGAAATGGATGAATTGTCCAACACCCTGATTTTATATTTCCAATCCTACCCCTCCATGATTTTATATTTCCAATCCTACCCCTCCATGATTTTATATTTCCAATCCCATCCTCTCTTAAAATGCAAAGAATGGGACAAGTTTGGGGGTATCCAATCCTACCCCTCCCTGATTTTATATTTCCAATCCTATCCCCTCTTAAAATGCTTGAAGAGAATGGATTCGTCCAACACCCTGGTTCTATATTTCCAATCCTGCCCCCTCCCTGATTTCATATTTCCAATCCTATCCCCTCTTAAAATGCCTGAAGAGGATGGGAGTATGGGACAAGTAGAGTTTGGGGGTTTCCAATCCTACCCCCTCCCTGATTTCATATTTCCAATCCTATACCATCTTAAAATGCTTGAAGAGAATGGGACAAGTAGAGTTTCGGTGAACACCCTAGACTACAAATGTTTGGTTCATTTTTAGAACAGGTCCAGTCCAACCAGATTAGCAAATCAGATAATTAATAAATTACTAATGCATTAATTAATAAATAAGTATATTACAATAATCTATAATTAATATATTAATTAGCGAGACAATAATTGATAAATTAAAATAATTAAAGCATTACTATTATTAATAAATTTATTGTTTATAATTACTAATCAATAATATTTATTTAAATTTAGAAAAATAATAATAATAATTTCTGAAAATAAATACAAATAATTAATTTATTAATAAATTATTATTATATTTATCAATAATTTCTAAAAATTTTAGTAATTGATTGTTGGTAAACGATATTGAAATAATTACATTTCTAAAAATTATAATTATGACTCCAGATAATTATAAATTATTGATTAATTTGATTCGAAACTGAAAGATAGTTTGGTGTAGTTTTTGGAAATTATGGATAATTTATTGATTATTCAACCAATAAATAATTATTGAAAATTAATAAATGATTATTCAGAAAATTAGCGTAATTCTCATTATTACATTTTCAGAAAATTATTGATTAATTTTATTTTAAAATAACAGTTAGTGCAATTTTGGAATTTTATGACATTTTTTTAATTTTTGGAATATTATGGAAAATTATTGTAATTATTGAAAATTTATAATTATGTTATCATAATTTATAATTATTGAAATTTTTATTATTATCAATGTAATTATAATTATTACACTAAAATAATTGTTAGTGTAGTTTGACTAATTCCTTTTTTCATAATCTCAAATAGTATTTCCCATTATCCAATAATTTTTGAAAAATTAATAATAGAAAAAACTGTGAATCTTGATTTAAAATAATGGAAATTAATAGTAATAATTATTGTTACATAATTAACAATTTTCCATTTTGTATCAATTCCAATAATGTAATTATTAAATTACACAAACTTCCATTATTTAAAAATAATAATTACTACAGAATTATAAATTACAATAAAATCTGTTCTTTGAAATTACTGTAATTACAGTAATTTTGAAATACAGAAATTCCAATAATAATTATTAGTGTAATAACTACAGTTTGTTTCAAAATAATTTTATTACACTAATAAATCTTATTGGAATTTTATTGTAATAATTCAATTACATAAATTATTGTAATGAAAATTTTATTTCTAATTACAGATTTGTTTTTCATATTAACTTTATTACAGAAACAATTATCTTTGAAATTTTAGTGTAAATTATTATTTTAGGAAATTTATAATAATAATTATTATTTGAATTTTATTGCTGATAATAATTACAGTAATAATTATCATTGGAATTTACATTTTCAGAAATTTATTAACGTAATTTTATTAGTGTAATAATAATTATTAAGTTACATTTAATTATTATAGTAAAATTTGTTCTTTTCAAAATACTGTAATTACAGTAATTTTGAAATAACTGTAATTCCAATAATAATTATTAGTGTACTTAAATTAATTATTTTTTCAAAATAATTATTATTGGAATTTTGGTGTAGTAATTATATAAAGTAATCATTATAATAAATATTTTACTATAGTTACAATTTCTTAAAATTAATTTTATTACACCAAAAATTAAATTGTGTTATTTTCCAGAAAATTGACTAGAAATCAATGAATATACAAAATTTTCAACCAATAATTTCTTTATAAATTTCATTTAAAGTTAATTAAAAATTATAAAATTGAAAAATAAAGTCAACAATAATATCTCCAGGAAAAATAAAGTAAAAAAATATCATAATTTTCGAGAAGAAAATAAAAAATATATTAATGTAATTATGGAAATTTTCTTTAAAATGTAGTAAATAATTACTGAAAATTATTGGAATATTTTGGAAATTTGGGAAATTTTATTACATTTGATAGATATTGGAAAATTATTTAAAAATTGTGTGGTTTACATTTAAAATTTTTAAAGATAAATTAGTATTGGTAAAGGAAATTGGTAGTTTGAACCAATAATTGCACAAATTATTTCTGTTATTAATATAAATTAGTATAATATTGGAAAATTTTAGAAAAGGAAATTATTAATAAACTTATATTGAGAAATAGAAGATAAATTAGTGTAATTTTGTAAATAATATATTTAAAAAGAAAATAAATTATTTAATATATTTAAAAAATCAATAATTTAGTATATATACTTTTGGAAATTTACCASCAGCCGACATTCAMTATATCCTTTTGATCCTTTTTACCAGCAAATTAGACATTGGGTTTTCCCGTGCATCGCACGGGTCCCGTACTAGTATTCTACAAATGGGAGGATTGTGTTTGGCATTTGTTCTATCAGTACAGAGTTGCAGAGTTTGTTTGTTTCTTTTTTTCTATTTAAATGGCTAGTATCTGGACCTGCCTTCCCTCATAAAGTCTTCTTTTGTCCTCCATTGTGTGGAAGTACCGAGGCCAAAAATTTCTGGAGTACCATTCTTTTGTGGTTTTGGGGGTATTGAGAATTTTTGAAAAGTAAGAACTGTGACAGTAGAGAATGTGTTGAAAAGTAAGTCTTCTTTTGTCCTCCAACGTTTTGCACTGTTTAATGGTTCATCCAGGATTTGAAGACATAAATTTTGGCCCATTTGTGATATTGTTACAGGCAATTTTGAAAAGCTGAGCTGGAAAAGCAACCATTTTCCTCTCCAAGTGGTGGGTCAACGGTTCTATCATCTGGGCTAATGGTTCAACCTGTAATTGCACTACAACTTTGAGATTAGGATCATGAATATACTCCCTTAGATTAAGATTTAGTGTTGTAAACCTAGATATGGAAATAAGAGGGAGAGAAAGAGGGAAGGGAGAGAGAGATCAAGATGAAGGAGATTGAAAGATAGAGGGAGGGAGGAACGCGAAAGATTTAGCAGCCTAGCAGCCAGGGGAGGAAAACAGGGGAAGGGGGGAGATCTCTGGCAGTTGTATAACAACAGAGACCGATCTCTGGCAGTGCAGCAACAATGGTGACAATAGATCTACAGTGGCGATAGTTGAATGGCACTATCAGCGGCAGGTTGGTCTGAAAATGTATCTTATATGACTTGTTTTGGTTTGCACGCACATGAACAGTTCATTGGTTTGACGTTTGACTGTTTTTTTTTTTTTTTGAAAGAAGGTAAGGTATGATTGTATTAACTGGTCCTGTGTACAATGAGTAACTGTACAAAAAAGGACCTCAAAAAAAGGCCACTCTCAGTGGGTGGGTAGAACAGCCAACACCATAGCGGATGGGTTAGCTAAACAAGGGGTATCAAGGGAACAGTTTTTTCTGGGCGGCTTTGTAAACTTTTTCTTACTAGTCTCAGGTAGTACATTGTTGCTATTGTGGAGAGGTACCAGCTCGTTCCCCTCCTTTGGGAAGGCTGTATTGTAATATCTTATTGATTTTATTGAATAAAATTCAATCATTTATCAAAAAAAAAAAGGCCACCCTCAAAAAAGTATAATCAGATGTAATATCTTTGAATTCAGCATGTATTGACAATCAGCACCTAATGGCATCTATGGCTGAATTGATGACC